GCCATACAATGAGAGCAGTCTCTCTCCGGCACCAGCTGACAGATACTTTGGTCCACAAATAGCGCAGTGCACACATAAAGATAGTCAATTAACATTGGTATGAGTTGGTGTTCAATTTAGTGTGTATCTGATCCCATGGCTGTGAAGAGGGGGTTCACTTAACAATAATATATTCATATATTATTATTATATTGTAAAATCCGTTCTAAAGTTGTGCTTCTGTGTGAAGCACTTTGTAACGTGTATAAACATTATTATATTATAATTATTATTATATTAAAATGATCAGAGTGAAGTTTATACGTGGTAGTGTAACATAGCATTAGCATTAGTTATTACTCATTTTAGGCTTTGTTGTATTGCAGCCTTTATGAATATCATTAAATATTTGAAATGTTCTTCAGTCACCGAAACTTCAGATCAGAGTCAGAATGAGTTTTATTGCATCAGGTTACCACATAAAGGAATTTCCCATGTATATTGGTGCATAACAATAAACACAGAACAAGGGAAACGAGGAGGTCAAAGGAACAATAATATATGAACAAATATAAAGACAACGATAAACAGTATGTACAATATGTCTGTTATTTTCAATGGAAGATGGACAGTTTGTGCAGGAATGTAAAAGATCACAGTATGAAGTATAGAGAATATCTACAGTAGAGGTTATTATATGTACAGTAGTACATTTAAATTCCAGCGTTGGTAATGAATGTTCTGCGTGTTTATCGCCTGCATGAAACAACACAGTCAGAGTTCAGGTGTGAAGAACCTAAAATGTTCTTTTTGTCGTCCATCTTCAGAACGTTTCACAGCTGAAACGTCCCCAACATCCAATGTCACATAATGACGGATCGTAATGAAGAGCAGTCCGTTCCTCTCAGAAGTCTTTATGAATTCTCAACCTCATGATGTTTCACATCGAGGTCTTTATTATGATGGGACTGAGGGTTTCGTATATTTTGCTGTAAAATAGCCTGTGTGGATTAAAGAAGTGGCTGTGCCGTGTTTACTGTTAGCACAAGGGGTTGGTGGCCGTATAAATCCTCTGTGGGGTTTGCTGGTTATATTATAAAAATATCTTATTTGTCAGTGTGAGAGTGTGACTGGTACCCCGGCTAAGAAACAGCGACCACTACAAGATGATATTCAGACTTCAATGGAAAGGAAGAGAAAAACAATCCAATTTCTGCGTTTCCATAACGAGTTATGAGTTATAAGTGCTGCCCTCACTCATCTTTTTAGTTAAATTTCAGTTCCTCCACTCCATTCATTCATTAAAGGAGAAGTTAAAGGTTTGTGAAGGAGTTAAAGTGAAGTTTGATCAAACAGCAGAACACATGAAGGTCCAGGCCCGACGCACAGAGAGGCAGAT